TGATGATGATGATGATGATGCAGATCATGATCTAAAGTATCTTCTAATATCAGGGGATTGCGAGAAAAAAAGAAAAAGAAAAGAAAGAAGAAAATATGGAAGAGAAACTCCCCCCCATCCAGTTTTCCCCCGCTGACAGTTTGGCCTCCCCTCTCCGAGGCAAATCAGCTGCCAGCGTCGAGTCCAATCAAGTCCTCACTTGCTAATCCTTGAGCCGCCGTAATCTGACCCGCGCCGACGGATCTCTCATTTTACCCCCTTTCTAATTTTCTCGCTTTTGTCACTTTCTCCCACTGTCCGGCGGCTCCCCTTTACGGCGAATTAGTCACCGAAAAAAAAATAAAAATCCCACCCCATCTCGATTCCAGTTTGTCGGATCAGTGTGTCGATCTGTGTAACGTTTTCTGGTTTTTAAGCCCCACCCCCCACCGATCGGGATTTTTATGGGGTTTGGTAAAAAAAAAAATAGAGGGAGAGCTGAGAGAGTGCATTCTGCTGAGTCACTGCTGGGCCTTGGAACTGAGACGCAGACAGAGAGAGAGAGAGAGAGAGAGAGAGAGGAAGGAGGGGATAGACTAGATCAGAACTCCCAACAAAAAGGATCGCGTGGAAAAAAAGGAAAGGAAAGGTGGACAGATTCCCCCCCCCCCCTTTTTAGACACGGAGAGGCCGAAGGCCGAAACCATCCGGGTTAAACTGAAGGCAGCCAAAAAGGAAAAAACTGATGGGAAAATGACTCAAAGTAAACACAGGGAATCCTGATCACAGAAACTAGGAAGGGGGGGGGGGGGGGGGGAAAGGCTAGTTCCCGTTTCGCCTTAGGGCAAAAAAAAACGCCTCTTTAATGAGGATTTCTCTCTTTTTTCTTATCACCTGCTTTCTGTTAATGGACTTCACGCCACAGTTTGCTTGGAGGTTTTAGCACACGGCCGGAGAGAGATTATTTATGTTTCCGGAACGCCGAAATGGGAAGAACGGAGCGGCCGGCATGGCCGGAGCAGGGGGA